ATTCCTTATAACCCACAGGGCCAAGCCATAATTGAGCGTGCCCATCATACTCAAACAACTTTTAACTAAACAAAAGGGGGGAGATGATGGGTCCAGACTAAGTGACCAGAATGAAAGACTTGCCAAAGCTCTCTTTACTTTTAATTTTTTATCAGTTAACAAAGATGGCCGCACCACTGCCACACTAAAGCACAATTAAAAAGGAAAAAAAAAAACATACAAATGGCCAATAAACATTTGAAAAAATTACCAACTTCCCAAAAGCAAAGAAATGTAAATTAAACGAGATCTCTTTTGCCCTCTCAGGTTGGCTGATTAAAAACATCTGGCATTGATTCGGGTAAGGGGAAACAGGAGCTCTCCTGTATTGTTGGTGAAAGTGTTGGTTGGTACAACCTGCTGAGGAGGGCAATTAAGCACTATCTCTTGAAATAAAAAAAAATGCATACACTCAACTGAGCAAACAAATCTACATATAGGAATCTATCCTACAGATATACTCACAGAAATACACAAAGACGTACATAAAGGTGCTTATTGCATTAGAAAAAAAATCAGAAACCACCCAAGTATCAATCGATTAGGCAATGGGTACATAATGATACATCTATATAACGGAAATCCCCATAGCTTTTAAAAAGAATAAAATCTATACTACTGACATGGGAAAGGAAGCCTAGAGATTAATATGTGAAGAAAGCGAATTGTACTATAGTACGTATACTATCAGAGCTCTGGTGGCACAGTGGCTAAGCGCTAACCCAATGATCAGTGGTTTGAACGTACTAGTCACTCCGAGGGAGAAAGATGTGGCAGTCTGCTTCCATAAAGATTACAATCTTGAACATTTTTTCAAATGTGTATTGGCCATTTATGTTTGTTTTTTTTCCAACACCAGAGGGCAGTTCTACTCTGTCCTATAGGGTACTATGAGTCGGAATCAACCCAATGGAATGTGTACTGTAATTCCATTTTTGTAAAAACAATAACTGTACATATTAGTCTCAATAACATATATGCATTAATATACACATTAGTATATGCATAGAGAAATCTAAAGTATTAAACAACAAAGTTAATGATGGTCATCTCTAGCGAGTGAGGTTTATAAGAGACTTTCATTTTCTAAGTTACATATTACTTTTTTTTTAATTGTGATTTAGGTGAAAGTTTACAGAGCGAATTAGTTTCTCATTAAACGGTTAATACACAAATTGTTTTTCTGACACTGGTTGCCAAACCTGCAATGTGTCAACACTCTCCCCTTCTCCACCCCAGGTTCCCTATTTCCATTCGTCCAGTTTTCCTGTGCCTTCCTTCCTTCTCATCTTTGCTTTTGAGCGGGTGTGTCCATTAGTCTCATATGCGTGATTGAACTATAAAGCACGGCCCTCACGTGTGTCATTGTTGGCCCTATAGACCTGTCTAATCTTTGGCTGAAAGGTGAGCCTCAGGAGTGACTTCAGTACTGAGTTAAAAGGGTGTCCAGGGTGTTACATATGACGTTTAAAAACCAAGCATATATACTTTTGTAATCAGAAAAAAAATAATAACTATTTTAGGTGGAACTGCTATATTTTCAGAAGTTTAGAGGCCCAGTGGGACTGACCTACAGGCAAACCACACCTAAGTTAACTACTTACTATGAGTGAGTGGCCTCTCTAGCCAAACTAGACCCACTTTGTGGGAAATACAAACCCACAATCCCTTATCCATAATTCCAAAAGCCAAAAAGTTCTGAAAACCCAAAGTTTTTTTTTGTAAGTTTGGCACAAACTCATTTGGTGGCAAAACTTGAACCTGAACTCATGTGAGGATAGTTAAAGGCTTTGTGTGTCCCCCTTAGAGTATTTATACGTTTTGCTGCAGCAATATTTTTGTGTTTGATTACAGGGTGCTGTTTTCTGAAATCTGAAAAACTCTGAATTCTAAAACACACCCGGCCCAAGAGGGTTGAGGACCTGAATTAACTACTGAAGATTTGTTAGATTAGTAAGCATCTTTCTTTAAAAATGCAAACTCTTCAGGAAAAGTAATGAACTGCCGGTCATTCACAATGTAGTATAAATTTGTTCCCTTGTCTTCCTCATAAAATCTCACTGATATCAGCTGCATGGAGAAAAGGGGACAGGGATCTAGAAGGTTCTAGAACATGTGACATTTGGGGGAACAAGACCTGCTTAGAGAGGCCCTCAGGAAAGGAAAAGGGCCACGAGACCTAGAAACATAAGCAGAAGGATAGAGAATCAGAAATAAAAGCATAGCAAACCTCTGCCAAAATTCAAACTAGAGCTCAAGACCAGAAACTCTCTTCCTACCCCAACCTGTCCTGCAAGCCCTGTTCCCAGAATTGAGGCCCCTGCCATTAGTAAATTGCTGCTTTAAGGGAGATGATAAATAAAAAGCTTTGTAGGCCAGACTGGTAACCTAACCACATTGTTTTTATGGGAAAATGTATTCCACATTGCAAATAATCAATTTGCAAATGATCTTTGGGAACACAGCCTTTTTGTAAGTTTGAGAGTACTTTTTGCAAGTTTTGTAAGTTTGAAGGACACTCACCTGACATTATTCCATGAGAAAGAAAACCCCCAGGTCAGGTTGTGCCCTGTCCCAGGGGAAAAGCCACCTTGTAGGAGTCATGCAGAAAGCACTGATGAAACAAACACACACACCCATACCCAAGTGGCCAGAACACTCAATCAAGCAAAAGAAACAAGCCTTCAAACACAGGACCATGATAAACTAGGTCAGACCCTCAGTCTCTCCAGCCTTGGATTCTGTCTCTGACAAAGACGTGAAGGGATATTGGGGTCCCCTGTGATCTCCCAAGGGGGCAATGTACTAAGTTTTAGAGGTGTTCCTAAAAAACCCCGAAGAGTATAATGTATCATCATCTACCATTTAGAAAATTATCACAAGTTCAACCTTTGCCACCTTTGAAAAGAGTAACAGCAGTCAACATTTACTATCTATGTGTCCAGGCTTTGCCCACATTATCTTATTGAATGCACACTATGACTCTATGTAGAAGGTATGTTGTTGTTATTAGGTGCTGTTGAGTTGGTTCCGACTCATACCGACCCTACATACAATAGAATGAAACACTGCCCAATCCTGCGCCATCCTCACAATCTTTGTCGTACCTGACCCCATTGTTACAGACACTGTGTCAATCTATCTCATTGAGGGTCTTCCTTTTTTCCGATGACCCTCCACTTTACCAAGCATGATGTCCTTCTCCAGGAACTGGTCCCTCCTGATAACATGTCCAAAGTATGTGAGATGAAGTCTCGCCATCCTTGCTTCTAAGGAGCATTCTGACTGTTCTTCAGTAGCCCCATTTTAAGAGGTAAGAAAACCGAGGCTCACAAAGGCTGTGACTTGCAAGGCAGAGGCAGGTCTGTGTGACTCCAAAATCCAAGCTTCTCCCCACTATACTGTCTGAGTTAAGTAGGACTTCTTTCCCACTTGTTCCAAACATCCTGTTTCAAACATCAAAGAAGGATCGCCTCGGGAACCAGGACCTTTCTAGCCATAGGTAGCCTCCTGAGCCCTCATTTCTTTCAGTGCACATGTTCTCTCCCCACCCTATCCCCCATCCATCTTCAGAGACACATTCATCTTACTGATAATTCCGCTTGCCTTATATCTCCTGATGTCGTTACCAGAACTTCTAAGGCCACATGCACAGAGGTTTTGTACAAAAGAAAATAAATGTCTGGTTTCAAATGCTCTAACAGATTGTATTCAGATCTTTGTTCATCTGTTTTTTGGGAGGGTGGAGAGGATGCCTCTTCTGATCTTCAAAATTTCCCCCTCCTGAGACTCTCAAAGTCCCTGGGTGGTGCAAGTGGTTTGCAATTGACTGCTAACCTAAAGGTTGGCAGTTCAAATCTACCCAGTGGTGCCTGTGGTGCCACGGAAGAAAGGCCTTGTGATCTGCTTCCATAAAGATTACAGCCAAGAAAACTATACAGAGCAGTTCTACTCTGTAACATATGAGGTCGCTATGAGTCGGAATCAACTTGACGGTAACACGTTTGGTTTTTGTTTTTTTTGAGAACCTCCAAGGGATCACAAAATGTGAGACAGGACAGAAGACACATTGAATTCTTTCAAAACATTAGCTGTGTTTGGCTTAACCTATTTTGTCGTCTGTCAGAATTTTAAAAGTTATCGGTGGTCAGTCCTTCTTAGCACAAGGGGATTGGGGGGTTGTCAGTTAATAGTCTTCCCCTTCTCCTGGAAAGGAGTTTTATAAAAAGCAACCCCACCCTGGATTTCCTTATTTGAGATAACTAAAAAGAAGCCACAGTGTGTAAATAAAAGTTACAGACGATGATGCAAGAGAGAGTCTCTCATCTCCTTACACAACCAGCCTTTTTAAATTAGTGGTTTAGACACCAAGGGCAGTTTCTCTCAATAAATTCTCAGCCACTGAAACTCCAGAGCTTGGCCTCCCAGAGGGCGAGAGGGTAGGTGGATGAGGCGTGGGTAGAGTGAGGGGGAGGCTGGAAAGGGGGGAGTCGGGCCCAGGCCCACCGAGCACCATCCCCTGGAAGCCAGGGTCTAATAAAGGCAGTCACTTGAATAACTTTCGCCTCCATCCCTGACAGCTTCCCCACCAGGTCAGGGGCTTAGTTAGCACGCACAGCCCAGATGTGAAAAGGGCCTCTCCTTCTGGCCACGGCGCTGTCCACACAGCCCTTGGGCAACTGGAACTCCCAAGTCTCGGTGCTGCGCCCCAACTATAACTTGACTCCTCCTTTCGCAACCCCGGGTTTTTGCTCTCTTTACAGGGTCCCTTCACCTGTTCTCCCTCAAGGCCTCTCAACTCTGCTCTCTCCCTCCTCGAAGCCCACCAGTTTTTGCCCTCGCGTTCCCCCAACTCCTGACCCTGTCCCTCTTGAGCCCCCCACACCACACCCCTTTCCCGCCCCCACACTTGGCACCGCCCCCGAATCCCCTCATCTCGCTAGAGCCCGGCCCGGCCCTACCTGGCGCCGGCGGCTGCCGCTCACCCTCAGCCATCTTCCTCTCGCCAGAAGCCGGTCCGGAAGCCTGCTGTCCCTTCTAACCTTTCACCCCCGAACCCACCCTTCCTTTCCCCACCTCCACCCCGGGTGCAGAGCTTTCTGAAGAGAAATGGGCACCGGCAGGCTATAACCGAAAACTGAGAATTAAAGTCACCGCAGCGGAGACTACCGCCATGTTGGTGCGGGGCACTCAGGGAGCATGCCCACCAACGGCCGGCTCGCGGATACCACGCTTATTGGGAGACGGTAGCCATGTTAGTGCGTGGCACTCGGGAGCATGCGCACCAACGGCTGGCTCGCCACTCTACCATCTAACTGCCCGCCGGGTAATGGGGAGCAGTGGCGACCATACTTTTGAGGGGCTGTCAAGGGTAGTTGGTGCGGCAGCCACGTTTCTGCGGGGCAGGCCCCACCTGTCATCTTTGTGCGTCGCACTGACTCTATCCCGAGGAATATTAGAGGACATTCCCCTGTCAGCATGGTTTGTGTTTTCCTGCAATTATAAGAGTAACGCTCAAGGACACCAAATGGGCTGGGAGGGGTGCACGCCACTGCCTCCAACAGCTTAATCTAGAAGAGTGCAGTCGGCATTTGGAGGTGGGGGAGAGAAAGCTGGACAGTGGCCTCCACTTTGCCCCTATAGCCGGTTTCCAGCGCTTGGCAGGATTTCACAACCGCTAACTGCCCCCTTGGCCCCGCCCCCGGGGCTGGCCGCGCCGGGAGCTGTGGCCTCGCCCCTGGGCTCGCGGCTAGCCGCCAGGGGTCCGCACCAGACGAGAGGCCCCGCCCCGCGAGTCCACCTTCCGCCGGGTCGCGCTCCCGCCTGCACGGTCCGGTGGGTGGGCGCGGGGTCGCCTCTACCCATTGGCGGCAGTGACTCGGCGACCTTGGGCCGGCTGCCCTAGCGGGGACCCACCCGCCACAGCTGCGGCGGCGGCGCGGACTTGGACCAGCGCGGGGGACGGTGCGGACTATTTGTTCGCGGCAGGCGGCAAGATGTTGTCCTTCGCCGCAGGCGGCAAGATGTTGTCCTTCGCCGCCAGGACCATGGTAAGTGCGCCCAAGAGCCCCGCCCGCGGCTCTCCCATCCCGTCCAGGCCACGCAGCTGCGCCCGAATAGGGAAACGGGACGCCTAGGCGACGCTGCAGGGCGACACCGAGCGGCTGCTGTCCGGCCTGGCCTCCCGCTGGTGGGGTGGGGTCAGCAGGTGAGTTTCTCCCATTTGGCGGAGGAACAGACTGAGGCGTGAGATCAGAGGTGGGATCGAACCGTTTCCTGTGGCGCTAACTTCCAACTACCGAAAAAGACAGTGGGGGGCCCTGGCGTCAGTCAGCACCTCCACCCTTAGACCCTGGTGCCAAGTGGGGAGAGAGATCAGGAGTGTCAAGCTGTGCACATACCCTTAGTTATTCTCAGGCTCACACACCCATTCCCATGCTCAGGCTGAACTGCCTCTGCTCAGGCCAGAGCCACTTCTCCGACGTCATCCAGTTGGTCAGCCTTCGTGGGTTTATCAAATGGCCCCTGGGGAAATGTGTGACCAGAGAAATTCTCCTGGAGGCATCAAGCTTTGGTGCTGAAAAAGTCCTCAGAACTGGCAGGTGATGGCAGGTGGCAGCCCCATGCCCTTCTCACTACCATCAGTCCTTCCCCCAACCTGTCCACATCTAGAGTAGCCTGGAGCAAGTGATACTGCTTTCCTGATTTGGACTCCTGTTCTCTCTGATCCAGGCATATCTCTGCTTGTATATCCCCTTGCCTGTGCCAAGAAGGGTGTTTAAACAGACATTACGAAGCCCAGAGGGCTGAGGGTACCTGCTGGCTGAGAGTCTCAGACTTAGAGGCTCTTCAGTGTCTTCCAGGACGCTGAGCCTCCTCCTCATCCTTGCCACTGCCACCTGGATGGGCCCCCATTCCACTGACAATCTCTAGGTCATCCCCCAGGACCACTCGGCTGGCCTGATCACTTTCCTGCTGGGAAAACTGAGGCAAGGAGGGACTTGGTTACTCAAATCTAGTTCAGTCCCAAAGCCAGCATCCTTTTGGTTTATAGTTAATGCCAAAAGTTCTCCACTTGTGGCCCCTGGCTTCATGCACTCGAGAAAACCAGACCCCCCAGAAGTACCCTTAGAGTCCTGGAGGGAAGTAGGGAGTGGGCAGAGCTCTTGGCAGCCACTGCCCACTTCTGGCCCTCCCCTGACTCTGTCTGTACTTTCCACCAAGCCCAGTTTCAGGGCCAATTGCAGGGCTGTGGTGTAACCACAGCAGCCAGGTAGTTTCTGCCCTCCAGCGAAGTTTTCCCTCATCAAAAAGATCCTGAAAGGTGGACTTCTAAATACTTTTTGGGCTGCCTCCCTGGTGCTGAGCCCATTCAGAGTAGAAAATGAGAATGTTTTCCAGGTTTCCTCCTACTCCAGTGCCCACCTCCAGTCCCCTCACCTGCTCCCCATTCCTCTACTTCTGGAAGCTAGGGAGGTGGAGCAACTTGCCACATCCTTGGATGCCACCACCGTCACCACCTCTGCCTCACCCCTGAATCTTGGCTCTTGTCTTCTCTTTCCAGCCCTGGCAGGTGGCTGCCTCTTGATAGGTTCTGCTCGTCTACTGGTAGCACAGTTAGGCTTAGAGAGCCAGCCCAAGACAGACAGACAGGGCTCAGAACCTCAGTTCTGCCATGGAGGACGGGCAGCGGGGAGAGAAGGTATGGAACGGAGCCTCTGCAGTTTGCCTACCTGCTGCCTCAAACCCTCCTGTCTCTCTTTCCACTGGCCTCCAGAGTCTCTTGGACTCTCTCTCTCTGCTGCCTCTCACCCTCCATGCCAGGCTGTTCAGCTCTCTCTTGCCCCAGCACTGCCCCCACACCTCCCCTCCCCCCACTGGCTGGCAGGAAAGCGCCAAGGCCTCACCTCATCCAAAGGTGTCATCCTCTTGCTCTCTCTGATTTTCTCTTCTTCCCTCCTATTTCTCAACCTGGAAAGGGTGGGAGAAAAGGAGGTGGAGACTTCTGGAAGGAGCAGTTGTCCTTTTCCCAGGGTGAGAAAGGCAGGGCCCTGTGCATTGAGGTAGTGGGAGGTCCCCCTCATCACCACTACCCCCGACAGGTGCCATCCCTTCTGACTAGGTACCCCTGAGCCCTGCCAAGATCAACAGCCACACCTGCTCTTCCCTCTCCCTACCTGCATCTCCAGGCCCCTGAGAGGTGGGGATACCCATAGCTCAAGGGCTGGGAGGCCAGGGCGGGTACAGCACCGCCCAAGAGGCCGTCTCTGACCCCAGCGATGAGTACATAAATGCACAGGACTGCGGCTTTGGGGTTGTCAGGGCCTCTTGCCCAGAGCTGGTGAGAGAATGAGCAAGATGTTCTGCTGCCTGCAGGTGAAGCCCCTAGGCTTCCTCAAGCCTAGCTCCCTGACAAAGGTTTCCGGCCGCTTCAAGGCACACCAGGATGCACTGCCCCGGCTGCCTGTACCTTCACTCCAGCGGTCTCTGGACCATTACCTCAAGGCACTGCAGCCCATTGTGAGTGAGGAGGAGTGGACTCTAACCAAGCAGCTGGTGGATGAGTTTCGGGCCCCAGGGGGCGTTGGGGACCGCCTGCAGAAGGGGCTGGAGCGCAGAGCCAAGAAGATGGAGAACTGGGTGAGTGCAACAGCAGGTGGGGCATGCTGGTCCCCTCACCTTTTATGGGGGGGAGGGAGGCAGACAGGGGTCCTCCCAGAGGCTCCAAGTCCTCCTAAGCATGCCTCACTGTGTCCTGTTGTTGGCTGCACGCACAGAACGTTCAAATCCCAGGCTGGTATGGTGCTCATCCATGGAGTTTCTTAAGGATTGTGCCTGGCTCCAGGCAGGGTGCTGGGTGAGCGTACATCTTGGAGCATATGTTCAAGTAGAGGGGAGAGAGGTGATAAACAGCACCAAGTAAAGGTATGAGATCATTTCAATCTGTGAAGTTCTATGGAAATAAAAAAGTGTAATGGCAAAGACTGTATGGATGAGGAATGGCAGCTTCTTTATTTTGAGTAGTCCCGGGAGTGCAGGGAGGATGTGGCATTGGATCCGAGACCTGAGAGTCTGAGACAGAGAGAGGGCGAAGCACAGGCAAAGGGGGGAGCGGCCTGGCACGTTTACAGACCAGAAAGAGGGTTGGCAGGGCTGGAGTACAGTCCAAGGGCAGGGGGAGGCCAAGGTAGAAGGACTTGGACTTGGGTGGGGTGGGGATCCATGATGGCTTTAGGCAGGGGGTTTGTGTTGTTAAATGATGGCCCTGGTTCAGTGTTTCAATCTGGTTACACAGATGTGCCCAGCTTGTGAAAAGACATTCACTTCTGCTGCGTGTACTTTTCTCTATGCCTCTTACACTTCACTATAAAGTTAAAAAGGGATCGCTCTGGCTGCTAGGAGGGAAGTCCATGGGGTGACTGGTGCCATCACCACAAGGGACATGCCAGCAGTGTGAACCCAGAGTGCCGGTAGGGAGAGGGTGGAAAGTCACTAGAACCAAGATGTGTTTTGGAGGCAGCACCAGTGGCACTTGCTGATGAGGTAGAGGAGTGGGGAGGGAAGTCCTGACCTAAAGCAACTTTGTAGGAGGTGCCTGTGGGACCTCCAAGTGGAGATGTGGGGTGGGCAGGTGGAAGTCTGACCCAGGAGCTCTGTAGAGGGGTGGGGGCGGCACATGGGACCTGAGAGTCATTGGTTCTTAGATAGCATGTACTGAGCTGCAGTTGGTCAGCCTTGGACTCCGGAATCAGGATGCTGGCCCTGGAAGGACCCTAGAAAGGCTGGGATCCAGTGGTTTTCCAGCTTGTTTAGCTTGGAACCAACCCTTTTTTCAAACAGAGGCTTTTGGATAAAGAGGTGGAGGCATCCCCCTCCACCCTTGGTGCCCCTTGAGGGTCTCGCCAGCACCTGGCATGGTGATTCTCACTGAGGGAATGCCTGCCCTCTCTGCGTTACTGCCATCTGCAGAATCTCCCATTGTCTCCCAAGCTCTGGGGCAAGACTCTGAGATCCACTAGTAGAGTGGAGGCCTGTGGCTGAAGGGGAGCAGCTCTGTCCCCAGGTAGGCTCTAGTCTGGCCCACCCAGCTCCCAACATGACACCCAGGTTGTCACAGTGTCCCTGATCTACAGATGAGGAAACTGAGGCCCAGAGAGGTAGACCAGAAGCCCAGAACCACGCAGCAGCCCTCAAGGAGACCCTGAGCTACACAAGAGGGTCTGGCTGACTCAGGGGCCCAGTCCTCAGACCATGAGTGAGTAGATAGCAATCTCTTGCTGGCCTGCTGTACAACCTGGGGCAAGTCAATCCCCTCGCCCCTTGCCAAGGTCCCAAGGCTAGTGGCCTGGTGCCACAGGTGAGCAGTTCTCCCAAGGGAATCTGTGTGGTGAAGAGGCACATGCCACAGCCCTGCTGTTTGAGATGGGGTGAGAAAGCACAGCGGGGGCCCCAGGTCCCCAGGTGTTGAGGGACCTGCAACAGAGAGGAGTGTTAGGACTGTACTTTAGAGGGACCAGGGGGGTGTTCCGGTCAGCGTGTAAAGCTCGTTGGTGGCAGTTACCTGGGAATGGGGTTTGTGTACAGCCCCAAGACTGGAGTCTATAACAATATACCTGTGGGTGTCCCCAGAAAGACATTGTTCTCCCCGTTTGAAATAGCCCTGCCCCAGGGCAGAGGACAGATGTCAGTGTGGAGACACAGGATGTGTCATCCATATCTTGTCAACAGGGCAATGATTTACCCTTGCCATGAGCTTCCCTCTCAGATCACCCAGACCTTGAGACCATCCTTAAGATCAAAGTGGGTGTCCACTTCCCCATCAGACACCAAGAAAATAGAGGCCACAAAGAAGGACCAGAGTCCCACAGGCTCCTCTAAAACCCTGGTCTTCTGTCTCCTTGGAGAATTCCCAGCTGGGGATGGTCAAAAATGCCTTCATTTAACTTTCTTTTTATCTTTGCCTTTTTTTGTTTCTATCTAAACATACATTTTTATTTATAGTAGTATTATAATCATTAACAAAAAATTTGTGAAATAAAGAAAAATCATTCACATTCTTGCTCCCTTTCTTCCCCCACCCCAGGTTTCCTTATAGTCTTTTCTCTCTCTTACGTTTTTATTGGCAGTATTGTCTGATTTCTCTTGCCAATCCTGATTGGCTCAGGCTAAGGGAAGATGGAGCCTTGGTGGTGTAGTGGTTAAGAGCTCAGCTGCTAACCAAAAGGTCAGCAGTTCAAATCCACTAGCTGCTCTTTGGAAACTCTATGGGGCAGTTCTGCCCTGTCCTATAGGGTCGTTATGAGTCGGAACCGACTCAACAGCACCTAACAGCAACAACAAGGGGAAAATGATGGGCTTGCTGCTGGTGGGTTTAAGGCAGGAGGTATGTTCTGGATCTGAGCATTCACCCCATTCACGGAGAATGCCCAACAGCACCTAATACTGTATGACCTCATTTATATGAAATAAGCAAATACAGTAGAACCTGTGAAAGCTGGAACCTGTGTAAGGTGGAAACCTGTCAGAGAAGGAAAACACAAATATTTTCCACTAATGGAGAGCGATAGAAAAGTAGTAAGACTGCACCCTGTCAAAGGCAGAAAACTTGTGAGACCCAGAAAAACAAGGCAGTCCAATCGAGATCCAGTCTTCACAGGTTTCACCGTATATAGAAACTTAAATTTATTAATGGTTACTAGGGGTTGGGGATCATGGTGTGGAGGAGAGGGAAAGGGAGAGTTTTTGCATGGGGGGAACTGAGGTTATGTTAATGGTAGTGGAATAATTAGGAAAAAGCTAGGGATAAGAACTGTGCAACATGAAGAGTATAATCAATGTTATTGAATTGTACACCTAAAAACTGTTGAATTGGGTGAATGTTTTGTATATTTTCACCACAATAAAAAAAAGTCAAATGAAAAAAAAAAAAGAAAGTCCAACCCAGAGTCTGTCATTGGCAGAAGAGCAGAGGGCAGTGGGGTCTAGCCAGGTCCCCTGGCCCTAAGGGGGGCAGGGCACCAGGTCCCGCCTACGCATCCTGATGGGCTCTGATCCTTTCCCTCAGCTGTCCGAGTGGTGGCTCAAGACAGCCTACCTCCAGTACCGCCAGCCTGTGGTCATCCACTCTAGTCCTGGTGTGGCGCTGCCCAAGCAGGACTTTGTGGATCTGCAGGGTCAGCTCCGGTGAGTGGCTGAGGCTGGGGACAGGTTGCGGGGAGGGCAGGCAGTCAGGGGGCAGGATTCCAGGTATTTCCAAGACCCTAAAGTCTACCTCCCCCAAGAGAAGAGATGGGCTACAGCCATGTCCATTAGCTTTCATCCCCACAAATAGCCTTTTGAGGTAGGGAGCATCATCCTTATTTTACAGACGGGGAAACTGAGGCTCAGAGCAATGAAGGGACCTGGCCAAGGTCACAGCTCAGGATTGACCCAGCTGGGGTAGGAAGCAGGGTTTCTCCAGCTCCAAAGCTTCCTAATTATTAGCCACCAAGCTGTAGACTGAGTCCTCTTCCCTACCCCAAACCTAAGGCTCCCCACTACCCCACAGTCTTGGCACTTTGCCCTTTCTTCCCTCTCTCCTGGGTTGGCCACAGGGGTGACTTTTGTACACAGTCCCCTTTTCCACTTTCAGCCTAGTCACCTGCCCTGGCCTCTGTTTCACTTCTCCGAGGGATAAAAATACCAGCAACAGGGATCTCCTTCCCAAGGACCAGCCACTCAGGGCTACCACCTGCTTCTCTTAAAGGGACCAGGGCACCCTGGGGAAGAGACTCCAGACTCAGGCCCAAGAACTTTAGCTGGTGGTCCCTGTGGTGGGGGCCAAGGTCAGCCCCAGGCATCAGGATGTGATTGGTGCAATCCAGAAAGCCCTTCTTCATAAGCCTAGATGGTCCAGGAAGGGAGGCCAGGTTGGGGAAGGTGGTTTGAGGGGTGACAAGGAGCCAGAGAGGGGACGAGATCTAGTAGAGAGAACATTTATTTCAAGCCACTGCCCTCTGATTGACACACACACCCCCACAGGCCCAGGTCCTTCTGTAACTGATGCTTCAGAGCAGGGTGACACACACACACCCAGACTCCAGGCTGTCTCTCAAGGCCTCAGGCCCTGTGGAGGTGGAATCAGCTGGCATTGACCCCTAATCCAGCGTAATCACGCTTCCATTCATTAGCACCGAAGTTGTGCCAGACCTATGCAACAGTATCTCCCTGAGCCCTCCTAGCAGCCCTCCCTCTAAAGATTACCAGAAAGCAGGCTCAGAGGGCAAGCTGGGACTCAACATGGTCTTCTCCTGAGCTCCTTCAGGCTTTCTGCAAGCAAGGGAGTGAAGCAATGGGCCTGGCTTGGGCCTCTCCCCTGACCCAGGGCTCTTCCTCCATGTATCCGCACAACTTCTGATCTCTTCTCTAACTGGTCCCTCCAGGTTTGCTTCTAAACTCATCGAGGGTGTTTTGGATTTCAAGGCCATGATTGACAAGTGAGTAGTCCCAGCCCCACCCTCTCCTGCCCGCTTCCAGGGCAGTTGGGGACCAGCACTGGTGTTCTCAGCCTCCTACCCCCTGCCCTGGCATGCCTAATTACCATAGCCACTCCAACCTGGTCCACCTCCCCTCAACCGCAAGCCCTGGCCCCAGCAAGGTAACCTGGGTACTGGGCGGGCCCAGAGTTCAGTCAGTTTCACTTCCTGTTTGCCCAGCCTCTGTTGGGGTAAAAGAGACAGAGCACTGGAGATTGGGATGCCTACATCCTCTGCTCCGGCTGCTGTGACTGCCTCCTTGTGACACTGTCCTGGGAGTCCCCTGGAAGTGTGGGATGCCAGCCACAGAGGCCCCGGAGGTTGACTCATAACCTCATTGCCCCCATGGCAAACTGAAGCCCAGAGAGGGAGCAGGAGTTTCGAAGGTTATTCACAACAGTGCCAGGCCAGGGCAGAATGCATTGACACCCTGAACCCTGCCACAAGGGGGCCTGGCCCTGTCGGAGCCCCACTCGGCCTGGCCCACCCCCAGCAGTACCTACAAGGCCCCTCAATCCTGTCCTCTCTTCCCAATTACTTGGCCCAGTGGCTTTCTCGTGTCCCTTTGTCCGCACAGTGAGACCCTGCCCGTGGAGTACCTGGGAGGGAAGCCGCTGTGCATGAACCAGTACTATCAGATCCTGTCCTCCTGCCGCATGCCAGGCCCCAAGCAGGACTCAGTCATCGACTTCAGCAAGACCAAGAAGCCACCCATGCACATCACTGTGGTGCACAACAACCAGGTTGGGGGCCCGCTGCCCACAGCTGTGGACCCCCACCCTGTGCGGGGGGAGGAGAGGGGTGGGGCCAAAAGTCAACCTCCCATCCCACTCCCCCAACACACATGCCCGTGTGCTCCCAGGAACAGGTGCGTGGGCCTCTCCACTGGGTGCCCAGGTAGCCCCACACCCGAGGGAGGCCAGGAGGAGGCTGTGGGCCTGCCCAGCCTGGAGAGGGCAATCCAAGGCCTGTCCTCTCTCTCACGCTTGGCCTGACTCACCAGTTCACCTAGGCCCTGAGTGGCAGTGACCAACCTCAGAGGCCGGAAGGAGGCTGGTATGAAGAGGTGACTGCTGTCTGCCTGAGATTCCCCACCCAGTCCCCCTCTCTCTGCCCCGGACAGTTTTTTGAGCTGGACGTATACCACAGTGATGGGACACCCTTCACCTCGGATCAGATCTTCACACAGCTGGAGAAAATCTGGAACTCATCATTGCAGACCAACAAGGAACCTGTGGGCATCCTCACTTCCAACCACCGCAACTCCTGGGCCAAGGCATACAACACGCTCATCAAAGGTGCCTCTTCACCCTGAGAACAGGGGACCAGGGAAGCCAGGGGGACCCACACTGAGACCCACTCATCTGGGCCCCCTCCCTACACCGGCCTGTGCAGCCATGCTTCTCCCCACTCCTCTCCACTCCACTGGGGTCTGTTGTCTCTGCTTTATATAGGATGAAATCGAAGCTCAGTTTGGTTAGTTAATTTCCCTCTATTAAGCTGCAAATTGGGATTAGTATCCAAATCCTGTGGCTGAGGAACCCACCTCTGTGTTTGTACACCTTCTGCCCCTCAGCCCCTAAACCTTCAAATCCTGTATCTGTCAGGGCATTGTCCCTAGTCAGACTGCCTGTGTTGGATCCCTGACTGCCACACTGGCTCCCCATGTGACCTTGGGCTTCCATTTCCTTGTGTCTAAAAGTGGGTTCAGGTGTTGGTCCCTTCCTCATGGAGTGCTGAGGCTGCAGAGTTCTGAGAAGTGGGTCCCTTACCCCATGCCCAGTACACGGGGAATGCTCTAGAAGCCCAGGCCTCTGCAGCAGGAAGTGTCCCATTCCCAGAGGGGCACCAGTAGACCAGAAGAAGCCTGGGCAGGGAGAACCCTGACGCTCCCACTCGCCCATATGCTGCACGCAGACAAGGTAAACCGGGAGTCAGTGCGGTCCATCCAGAAGAGTATCTTCACCGTGTGCCTGGACGCGCCCATGCCCCGGGTCTCAGAAGATGTGTACCGCAGCCACGTGGCTGGCCAGATGCTGCATGGCGGCGGCAGCAAGCTCAACAGTGGCAACCGCTGGTTCGACAAGACACTGCAGGTGGGCCTTATCCAAGGACCACACAGGGGCCATGATTCTCGCCCCAGACACACACCCAAACATGTCCACCTTGGCCCTAGGGACTTCCTGTCCCTGCCCTGGCCCAGCGTCCCTGGCCTCCCAGCTTGTAAACAGGTGGGAAGCCAGAAGGCTGGATGCTGCTGTAATTACTGGGCAGCAGCCTGTCATTACAGGGCCTGGTGCACTGGCCCAGAAGCTGCTGTCACCCCAACACATCCCTTCAGCACGTGGGTAGAGAGCCTGGAATATGGGGCCAGGTAGAGCTGTGCAGTCTTGGCCACGACTTTCCCTCTCTGCACCTGTAAAATGGAATGGTAGTAGAACTCCCCAGTAGGGTAATTGCAAGAGCTCAGTGAAGCATGCTGAGCACTGGACATGCTTAGGACAAGCCTGGGACACAGGCATCCCAGAGCACCTGATGGACGCTAGCTGTTATGAATAACAGTAGGAGGTCAGCATAACCTTTGGGATGGCTTCAGAGGGAGCCCTTCCCACAGGACCCAACCAGGGAGTGGCTGGGTCAGGAGGCAGCCTCCAGGGACCTGAAGCTCACGGGCATGCCCCATTTCCCTCCACAGTTCATCGTGGCAGAAGACGGCTCCTGTGGGCTTGTATACGAGCACGCAGCTGCAGAGGGGCCCCCCGTCATCGCTCTTGTAGACCACGTCATTGCGTTCACGTGAGTAAGGTTCCTCCACCTCCTAGTTCCCCAGTTCCTGGTGACAGGTGACACATGGGTTGTGAGGGAACATCATTGTCTCTTGTCCCTGGAAATCTGTTCTTCAAAGGAAGCCTGCAGAGGGCATGGGTTTCAGTCAGACCTGGGTTTGAATTCTGGCTCTGCCACTTCTGATTGTGTGACCTTGGGTGAGTCTCTTCCCCTCTCCAGGCCTCAGTGTGGCCGTCTGACTGGGCTGACTCCCTCCAGCTTCAGGGAACTCGTCCTCCCCACTCCAACCCCAGGGATAGGCCCAGGCTCTGGAGGCATTGCCTGAGCCTGAGGCCCTGTGTCCCATGCAGGAAGAAACCCGAGTTTGTGAGGTCTCCCATGGTGCCCCTGCCCATGCCCAAGAAGCTGCGGTTCAACATCACCCCAGAGATCAAGAGCGACATTGAGAAGGCCAAGCAGAACCTTAGCATGTAAGTGCCTGCCCTGCCACCCCTGCGCTGGGTGGGCAGGAGCCTGAGCAGCTCCTGTCCCAGGTCTGTCATTGTACCTGGTTCTGGTTCTGAGATTGTGCTCTTAGGCACCCCCTGGGGTCGGCAGGGGCTGCCAGGTGCCTGCCTCTTGTCCTCCTTTCCCACTAGCTGCCCGCAGCATACCAGCCTGCATTTCTGTGCCTGTGTCTTTGCACACAGTGTACTCTGCCTGACATGCTCTTTTCTTCCTCCAACGCATGGGCTCCTCCCCGTCACAGCATGATCCAGGACCTCGACATCACGATGTTAGTATTCCACCACTTTGGAAAGGACTTCCCCAAGTCAGAGAAGATGAGCCCAGACGCCTTCATCCAGATGGCCCTGCAGCTGGCCTACTACAGGTGCACACCACTCCCTGCTCACCTGAGAAGGAAGGATGAAATGGGGGGAGGCAGAGGGGCAACCTGGGAGGGGCATGCTCAGCCCTCATCTCTCACCTAGGATCTATGGGCAGGCATGTGCCACATATGAAAGCGCCTCCCTGCGCATGTTCCACCTGGGCCGCACAGACACCATCCGCTCAGCTTCCATGGACTCACTCACCTTCGTCAAGGCCATGGATGACTCCAATGTGACGGTAGGAGGTCCAAGGCAAGGGTGGGTGAGCTGGGCTAGAGCTATCCTCCTTCCTGTTCACTCGGTCACCACATATTGATTGAGTAGCTACAGTATTCCAGCCGTATGGTGGGCACTGGGAATCTAACAGAAGATAGAACCATGAATCTCTGAGCTTCCTGGCAGCCAAAGAAGAAAAGGAACCATTGATTCATTCATTCATTCATTCACTCACTCACTAGGATCACCAGAAGGTGGAGCTGCTGCGGAAGGCCGTGCAGGCCCATCGAGCATACACTGACCTGGTGAGTGAGACCCACCTGTCCTACTTGCTTGTCTCTTGGCATCTTCTACCTGTGATCTATCTGCCCGTCCTCTCTACAGCAAATGGCCACTAACCCTTAGCTAGAACCACCACCCCCCTGAGCTTTGAGGCACCTTGAGCAAGGCTGAATATCCCCATTTTAAAGTTGGAGAAACTGAGGCTAGGCCCAGTAACTGCCCTGGTCACGGGTTTCGTGGTTACACAGGCACCTGGGTCTTGTGTTACACTCCTTTCACAGTGCCCTCAGACAGCAGGGTTCCTGCCCTCTGACAGCGTGGGTTTTAGTTAGGGAGGAGGCAGTCTGGGTTCTGATCCTGGCTGTGTGTCTGAGCACTGACTGTGTGCTAGGCTGTGGCCAGCGTTGTTACATGTCCCGACCTGACTGACCTGTTGCCATCGAGTTGATTCCAACTCATAGCTACCCTATAGGACAGAGTAGAACTGCCCCATGGGGTTTCCAAGGAGCAGCTGGTGGATTCGAACTGCTGACATTTTGGTTAGCAGCCAGGCTCTTAACCAGTACACCGCCAGGGCTCCTTGTTACGTGTAGACGTCCATTTAGACCCCACTGCCACCCTGTGAGTCAAGTTCAGCGACTGTCTCCACTTTACAGATGAAGACACTGAGGTTCCAAGACATAAGCGACCTGCTCGTGGTCCCACAGCTAGGATGTGGCCAGGCCACCCAGCTCCAGAGCCCAGGCTCTTAAGTCCTGTGCTGTCCTGTCTCTCTAGGCAGGTCTCTGCCCCTTCCTGGGCCTCAGTTTCTCTGTCTTTGAAGCGAGGGCTCTCCTGGCAGAACACTCTGGTCTCATGGTTCCAAAAGGCCAGTGAATGGAAGGGGTGGTGCTGCCACAGCCTTCTAAGGAGGGCAGGGACATCCTGTGGCCCACAACCCCCGCTCCTGAAGGCTCTCCCCTCCCACAGGCCATCCGCGGAGAGGCCTTCGATCGGCACCTGCTGGGCCTGAAGTTGCAGGCCATCGAGGACCTGGTGAGCATGCCTGACATCTTCATGGACACCTCCTACGCCATTGCCATGCACTTCAACCTCTCCACCAGCCAGGTGGGCCACTCTCCTGGGGCCTGTCTGGGGATCCATGCCCTCTGGGTCCTGCCCCTACCGTAGGTCCCTAGGGTGGAATGGAAGTGAGCCTGCTGGGAGCTGGAGCTGAACAAGGGTGGCACTGAGCAGAGCCAAGGTCCAGAATGTGGTTGGACCAGACTGGTGTGAGCCATGGGAGTTGGGAGTGATGTGGTCCACATAGCCCACCATGGATCCACTGACCCCTTCACTCAGGGAGTGGCTGAGTTCTGAAGGAGGAGCTGGATCCAGGGGCCTTCACCACCTGCTCATACAGGCTGAGAAGGGGTCACAGACACACAATGGGAGAATAGGCCTCATTCATTCACTTGTCAGACTGAACAAATGAACACCTGGCCTGTGCCGGCCTATGCTGGGGTCCAGCTGGGAAAGCACAAGGAATGAGGCAATGACAGTCTCTGGGAAGCGCTGGGGGGTCAGGGAACCAGAGGGATCCCGGAGCCTCTGGGAGGTAGCAGTTAAAGTCACCCTGAGGGGCTCTGTAAAGGAGCTGCCAACAAAAACGCACCCGAAAGGATGAGAGGGAGGATCCCATCTGCTGGAAGAGAGGACAGGGCATGTCAGGCAGAGTACAGCGTGCTCAAAGACCTAGAGACTCAGAAATGCAAGCTGAGGAGCTGGCAGGGAGAGGATGAGAGCTTTAGTCCTGTGCTGTCCCCCAGGTCCCTGCTAAGACGGACTGCGTCATGTTCTTTGGGCCTGTGGTCCCAGACGGCTATGGCGTCTGCTATAACCCGATGGAGGCTCACATCAACTTCTCCGTGTCGGCCTACAACAGCTGCGCTGAGACGAACGCTGCCCGCCTGGCGCACTACCTAGAGAAGGCCCTCCTGGACATGCGTGCATTGATTCAGAGCCACCCCCGGGCCAAGCTGTGAGCCCCATGTGCTCAGGCCTGCCAGTGCCACAGCCAGGGCTGAACTCTTTCTTTGCTGGGGGTCTCCCCGCTTCCCTTGGCTTCCCTAGATCTGACTGAGCCAAGGGGGCATCCCCTAGTGGGGCCCGCAGGCCCAAGCCAAGTGCCTTCCATGGGTCATCTCAGCACCTGGTGTGAACCTCCCTAGTCTGGAGTTGAGCTCAGAGGCTGAGCAGGTTGTAAGGCCCAGGCCCCCAGCCCATCACCCACTTACGCCCCTCCCAGGAAAGGGAATTAGCAATCAACTCGACAGCAGTGGGTTTGGTTTTTTTGGGGTACCCCATGCCAGAACGTGAGACTGGGAAAAAGTCCCTTTCCTTACCAGCTCCACAGCTGGGCTAGGCTCTGTAACTTGATCCCCAAACTCTGAAGAACCTAGAGACAGAAGATTACCTTGAGCCAAGGGGCCATGGGCCACCTGGGCCTTTCTGAGCTGAACACCTGAGATGCCAGGGTGTGGGGATAGGGTGACGGTGAGGCCGAGGCCTCTTTCCTCCATCCTGTGTCAAGGTACCATTCCTGTCTGGCTGCCGTGCTCTTTTTGGATAACGTGGCTCACAAGCCCAGACCCTGTTGCTTCCACTTGGCTTGATTCCCTGACCATGTTCATGGTTGTTGTATAATATTAACATACAAGGTAATTAATAAAGGGAAAATCTGTTGGTGAAGAGGTGGTTCAGCTGAGGGGTCAGGTAGGGTGGGGGCAGACGCCTGGCCTTGCACACTTCCAGCTTCCCCTGGGTCTGGAGCTGAGATGTCCAAGCAGTGGGTCCAAGGGCTCCTCAGAGGAGCCAGGAGGAGGTGGCTGAGGTCTGGGTGCCAGGGGCCAGTTCTAACCATAGGGCACTGGGCCAGGGAAGGTGCCAGACCCAGGGTAGTGCTCATCATAGCCAACTTCCCACCTACCAGGGCAGGTGGAGACAACTCTCCAAGGGGACTGTGGGGTCTATAGCCCCAGAGTGGGTGGACTGGGCAATGTGTGGCTGACACCCTGGGGCCCAAGGCCTCATCCTCCAGCTCCCCACTGAGGCCAACAGGAATGGTGGGTAAGCGGGTGCTCTCACTCCAGCCCCAGCTGCTATCTGGGCAAATACCTGACCAGAACCCTACACCCCAACTCCCATTTACCTGGCAGAGACAAGATGTCCTGCCAAAGTCAGCTGGGCTGTGTTTGTGAGAAAGGTGAGTCACACTTCAGGGAGACACTCTAGTTGTCAAGGAAGGTGTATGTCAAACCCCATGAGTAGATGTCAAATGTGATAGGGGTAAGAGGTTAGCAGCCTGCTTCGTGGCCTGACTGACCTTTGAGATAGCCACATGAAGGTGGGTCCTGTCGTTTTCTCCATTTTTCATATGAGGAAACAGGTTCAGAGAGGTTAAAGTCGCTTGACCACTAAATGGCAGAATGGCGATTCCCTGAGGAGTCCTAGGAGGCTGTATAGCCGAGCCCCCTGGGGAGCTTGTGAAAATGCAGAGGCCCCAGCCCCAGTCCACACTCACCCAGACATCCTGGGGAGAAGAAAGGGGGAGCAGGAATGGAAACTGCTCCAGATGCCTATGACCTGGTGAGGAGGATGAACAGAGGGTTGCAGCCTAGAAGGTGCAGGAAGCAGCCGGCTGGACCAGGGCATTGATCAGGTGGCACTAACCTGTACAGAGCACTCAAGGCCTTCCAGGTGTCCCACGGCCTCAGCGAATCTTCCCCCAGCCACATGAAGATGGCACCTAACAGGGTCCTTATTCTCAGATGAGGCCCGGAGAGGGCATGCCACTTACCCACGGCCCTGGGCAGAGGTGGGAGGGAGTTCTTCTAGGCCTGGCCGTTCCTCGGGCCCCTAGGCTAGGGGCTGTGAGCAGGCAGGCCTAGAACAGAACTGCACCAAGGGGAGTGCCCAGGCTTTGCTCTGCTTCCAGAGAGCTCAGGCAAGTCTGGGCCTTCTCATCTGTACAATGGCAGTGATGGTGTTCTCCGGGGCTTACTGGGAGTCTTACGAAGCTTGGGCCACAGCAGGGTTAAGTGGCTGCTGTGTGAAGAGCACCTGGGTGGGGCCCACACCCTACCCAACCTGGGGCAGTGGTAGAGTGGAGTGAGCGATCCAGGCAAAGAGAACCAAGAAACCACAAGTTCTAAGAACCATATAGGTCTGAATCCTATAAGACAGGATTCTCCCCCTCCCCCAAATTATCCTTCAGAAGCGAGAGCATCCCCTTACATTTGAGCTATCACAGGTCTCATCATACAGAGGTGCGCGCTCAATTCTTTTGCACTACGAAGTACTGTTTGGGGAAGATATTAGCAGCTAAAACAACCCCAATCACTGTTAAATGGAATGCTTAGAGGTCCTGTAAAAATGGCATGGAAGAGGGGGAGAGAGAATCACCATCAGCATCAATTGCCCAAGGCTGATTGCTGTGACACGTAGGTCAGACATATCTCTTCTCTCCAACCTTTTTAGCAATTCTGACACCAGCCATCCCTCCCACCAGCACTCTCTACTTCGCTGCTAGGTTCCATAATCTTTGCAATGGCCACAGGGAACTCAAAGGCAATACCCATGATTATAGGTTTATTAGGGAAGTAGCAGGTTCAATTCAGGATTAGAAACGACTCAGGATACAGTTTTTTGATCAGGACAGTCTCTTCTCAGCCGTGCCCGCAGGCAGGCCTCTGTTTCCTGCCCTTGGCCCCTCAGCCCAGCCTCTGCCCTGCTCTGGCAAGCATTACAGATCTCTTTAGCTCCACCAGTAAGTGCCTGGGGCACCCCACTCCACCAGTAAGCCTCGGCCCAAAGGCGCCCAGCTCTCTCTCTCACTCTGGGGGTCAGCAAGCCAAGTGCCTGGAGGCACCCACTCTGCCAGGAAGCCTCCTGCCCAAGGCACTCAGTTCACGCACTTAGCCTCCTCGCTCTGTGGACCCAGAAGCCCATTGCACCATCTCACACTGATCTCCTGGTTCTGCTGCTACCGGTTCTCTGCCACGCTTGCTGCCGATTTTTGCTGTCTTGCACTGTCTCCAGTGTTACAGCTCTGTCTCCTGGGTCTAAGAAGTTCTCAGCGAAGGGATGCGGGGTCCAAAGGACACACTTCATTCCTAGCTCTTCTTCTTGGTGGTAGTGCCTCCCCAACATGCTTCTCTCTCCTTAAAAGTGTGACTCAAGTAAGGGCGTGACTTGAATAAGGGTGATAAGGGTGGTGACTTCAGTCACACCCTCTAGTAAGGCAGTGACTCAAGATATATCCCACCCTAATTCTGCTTCATTAACATAACAGATAACTCACTCCCAAATGGGACCATAACCACAGGCACAGAGGCTAGGATTTACATCACAAAATGGAGGATAATAACATCAGATCACAAAACAGAAGACGACTACATCATTACCTAACTGCCAAACCACTGAACATCATGGCCCAGGCATGTTGACACACAACCATCATAGTCCCACCTTATTTGCATAGTCCCACCCAATCATCGTATGGGAAACACAAAGACAGCTAGAAGGGCCATGTTAAGTAATTCACTGCACTGCAAGTCCCCTAGTGGAACTAGTGGGGGAAAGTGGCAAAGAAACAATAAAGATTTAGTAATTATTCCTGAGGGTCTGATCTTTGACCTCGCAATTTGCAACTGTTGGATTTCAGGATAAGCAAGTACTTTAAAGATCCCTGGAAAAGCAGTGAGATAAGTGGTTGGTTGTGGTGATCCCAAGACACTTCTACAGGATGGATTTGTAAAAATGCAACTGTTTGAATGTTATGCCAATTGGCAGTTGTGGCTTTGGATAAAATTTCCAGTGATTGCATCATGCATGAAATTCAGAAGGCATTTCTGTATCTCAAACCACTTGGCTGTCGTGAAGACAGTGGACTCAGAACTTAGGTGACCCAGAGGTGGCCCTAGGGGTGACCAAATCCTGATGCCAAAGATGCAGGGGAAGAACTTAAATTTTGTGTGTGTGTGCAAAATATGAGTGGAAGAGAACTGTTTTTTTTTTTAAATTTTTTTTTTATTGTACTTTAGATGAAGGTTTACAGAATAGTTTCTCATTAAACAGTCAGTACACATATTGTTTTATGACATTGGTTAACAACCCCACGACATGTCAACACGCTCCCTTCTCGACCTCGGAGGACCTTTTTTTTGGTGAAAATATATGTAGCCAAAGTTAACACCATTTCAAAAGTTTCTACAGGTACAAATCAGTGACATCGATTACATTCTTCCAGTTGTGCTGCTATTCTCACTATCCTTTTCCAAATTATTCCATCACTATTATCTTCAATTCACTGCCCCCTAGGCTTCCCATCAAACCTTTTGAGTTGCTGTTGTCAATTTGATCTCACATAATTTTTTTTTTTTGTACCTTAGATGAAGGTTT